GTGGCAGGCTGGGCCAGAGTTGTTTGCGCTGCAAAGAGGTATCTGCCGAGCACAGCGCCAAGGTGCCGGTGTGCGAAAACACCCCGATGCCCAGTGCTTTGCTAGGCGCAGGCCACCTCTGCCGCTCGCTTGCTGCCTCTCAGACGGCGTGTGGAACAGGCACTTCTGGAGCTGGCGCTTCCGTCGGCCGCTGCGCAACCGTCCCTTTCTGGGTCAGTCTCCACGTTTCAAAGCAAACGCTCCTGCAGGCTTGAAACCCGGTCTTTGTCTCTATCCTAGAAAGTTTGGTCTGACAGAAACAGTGTTGGGGAGATGGGAAATGTCTCTGCAGCATGTCCATAGCCAGTCAGTGAAGTTACACCAGGTGTGAATTTGGCCTCAGGCCTGATGACTAAGCTCCTGCCTCCTTGATAGCCCCGACTGCGAACAAAGGCCCGGTGCTTTCCCCCACTTGCAGCCTGTTCTAGTTAAGTATTATTATTTATACCACGGAGTAGCTATAGATGGTGTTTTATAGCAGTAAAATACATAAATCGACAACCAGACGACTAGGTCCTTGCCCTAAAGAGCTCATAAATCTAACAGCACGATCAAGACCAGTAGCACACAGCAAGCAGTCCACAGCACGGCGTGTGGATGCAGCCAGCCTAGACAGGTCTTGCAGAGCAGAAGTTTTAGGAGGAATTTGAAGGGAAAGCTTGCCAAAGGTAGAGGCAGAACCTGGCCTCGGAGACCAGGGTTGTGCCCTGGAAGCCCCCCACGTCGGCTGCCTGTGAGAAGCATAAATGTAGGCGAGGCAGCCTGATGCAGCGAGGAGTCTGCAACGGCGCTCAGCCGGGCTGCATTCGCGGAGGCTGGACGGAGGCGGCGGAGGCACCGGCACCGGCACCCTGCGCATCCCAGCCGCTGCGGCTCTCCGCCAGGTTAGAGCCTGCTCTGCACGGCACGAGCCTGAACAGGGCCGTGCCTGGGGCTGAGGCACAAACAGGGGAGCACAAAGCCGAACACCCCCACAGACACCCCGCCGGAGGATTTTCCCCTAGCGTGCTCCTTTGGGCTACGGGCAAGCGAGACTCGGGGGCGTCTGAGCTCCAAGGCCTCCAGGTGCGGGGCTTGCACACAGGAAGCCTGCCACGGGTTTGGGAGCACCTGAAGCCCCAGGCTGAAGTCTGGGACGGAGGATGCTGGGCGGTGGTAGCGCCGCGCGGACTTGAATGACTGCGTTCTGCCCAGCTGGTGGCATTCGGAACGGATTTGGCTAATTCGGCCCGAGACACTAAATTAAAAAAAAAGAAAGAAAGATGTAGACAGAGCAGAGACGCGGCCAAAGCAGAGCAGAGACAGCGCAGCGTCTCTTGGGGACCGCTGGCTCTGCTCACCGGCCTCCCAGCCCTTCTGACCCCTTCAGCTCCAGCACAAGTTCAGGCTTACCACGAGATGCATAATGGGGTATAACAACTCATCCAGTGCTGCATATAGCAAGTCCTTATTCATTAATAATGCATTCAGGAGGAGTGATTTCCACTTCCAATAATAAGGCTGATACGATAGAAACTAGCAGGTAATGAAGAACATTTATAATGATGTTAGTCTAATAATGAGTGTAATACCGTTAAAAGTAAGACTGCAAGCTGGACACATCCAAAGATAAATTATTTCAAGCATCCATTAACTAATGCCTAATTAATGCCCAATTATAAGAAGCTATATGGGAAATAATCTGGACAGCCCAATGAATTCACTCCAGTCAGGAAGATCACAGTAAAAACCCAAGCGAGTGCAGAACGAGACCATGAATGGAAATGTGGGGTGGAAACAACGCGGTGGCTGCGTGTAATAATAACAGAGAGACGCCAGCCAGGTCGTTGGCATCTTTACCAGTGTCAGCAGTGCTGCATTTTCTTAAAACGCTTAATTAAAAGGTTTCCGCAGCGTTTTTCCGTTCAGCTTTTCAAACTCTCCCTACCCGTCTACTTTTGACACGCATGCCAGTGACACTCCATCTGCCTCACAGCTTTTGCTGGAGGAAGTTGAAAGGTCTGCACTCAAGATAATAGAAGGTTTTTCAGCAAGTTAATCACATTCTGACTTTCTGCAGAGGAAAGAAGGTCCCAGCAGGGGACTCGGGCTCCTAAAGAGCAGTTGTTCTGAGCCGTGGTCAGCGGTGGCCCTCCCAAATGAAGGAAGGGCTGTGACACGCAGGCTACTACGCAGCAGTGGAGCCACGCGACAGGTCACAACAGCCTAGCAGGATTTATGAGATAAAGGGCTTAATAGTTCCCACTATCCACTTCACTGGTCCTGGGCTGCCCACCTCTGGATTTAAGTCTGGGGCCCGCTGATGCGACCAGGCTCTCACCTATCGCACGGTGACGGCGGATAATCACAAGATGCAACGAGCAGAAGTTACTGCCGTCTTCAATTGTTGCTGTCAAGGTGTAGTTAGAGGAAAGGTGCCCGCTTTCCTCTGTACAAACCCTATCTGTGCTGCTAGGCTCCTATTCTGTGCCTGTTTCCTCAGCACCATTCATACAGCATCAGTGCACATTAGCCCGACACACACCTCCTCCCCCAAAACGAGCTTTGGACCACGCTGACTCGCATCTATCTGGTCGTTACAGGACAAGCCTGACTCTTGGGCAGTTTCTCAGCCCTGTGCAGGTGTTTTCAACACTGCCACACGGGCTGACACCGCTCCACCCATCCACGTGGCAGGGGAGAAGGGGCCGGCCCTGGCGCAGCGCTAAGTGGCCTGTGCCGTCATCACCAGACACGTTATCCCCCACGCTGCACAAATGCACCAGCAGTCTTGTTAGCACGGAGGCAAACGTGTCACGGGGCTGTGTGCTGAACTCTTGCTTTTAGGCACCGAGCAATCCTCCGACCCGCTGCTTGCAACGGGGAGGTGGTTTCCCGAGCCAGCCCCTTCGGCACGGGCCCTCGCACCAACCGGCGTCGCGGGGGGAGCACGCCCCAGCGATCGGTGCCTGGGAGGACGCTGCTAACAAACACGGAGTCCGAGCACGTCTCCGCGGCT